TGCCCAGCCAGAGCCAGCCCAGCCCTGCCCCTGCTCACTGCATGGTGCTGGGGGACCCCAGGGGACAGGGAAGGGCACTGCTGTGCCCAGGGCTTGGCATGGCCAGGAGATGCCACCAGCCTGGCCTGGGATGTGGTGTCAGAATCACAGAACCATGGGAAGGGGTGGCTTAGGAGGGACCTGAAAGCTCATCCAATTCCAACTCCTTGTCATGGGCAGGGACACCTTCCCCTGTCCCAGGGACACCTCCCACTGTCCCAGGGACATCTCCCACTGTCCCAGGTGCTCCCAGCCCGGCCTTGGGCACTGCCAGGGACCCAGGGACAGCCCCAGCTGCTTTGGGCACCCTGTGCCAGGGCCTGCCCACCCTGCCAGGGAACAATTCCTTCCCAAGATCCCATCTAAACCCACTCACTGTCAATGGGAGCCATTCCCTGTGTCCTGTCCCTCCATCCCTTTCCAAAGTCCATCTCCAGCTCTCTCAGAGCCCCTTCAGGCCACACTCAGTTCACTTCAGACAATCCTCAGCCTGAACACCCCCAGCTCTCCCAGCAGAGCTGCCCCATCCCTCTGATCACCCTGGAGCCTCCTCTGGACCTGTGCTGACCCTGCTGGAGCAGAGGGGTCTCCAGATGATCTCCAGAGGTCCTTCCACCCCATCCTGGGACTCTGTGATTTCTGATACAGTGATGAATCTCACACAGTTTTGCTCCAGGAGCTCACTGTTATTCAATTTAATCCATGAACCTGACTCAGTGAAGCAGCAACCAAGGAAAATGGAAAGATGCTCAAGAATTAAATTAACTTGATCACAAAGAGAGGGAAGTGACATTTTGGCTAATGGGTCAAGACTACAATTAAATTGGGAATATCTAAAGTCTGAGCGCTTCCCTGCATCAGTGCATTCAAACATGCATCTGAACAAACACAAACAAATTTCTCTGTGTCTTTGCTGTTTAGCTGATCAACCCCATTTGGGACTGGGGTGGCCACTGGGTCAGCAAAGGCTTCTGAGAGGGAGACAGAGCAGACAGAGCTGGTGCTGACTCATGGCTGAGTGCAAAGCTCCTTCCTGCCTGCACAGAGGGCACTGCAGGCAGCAGGGACACGGGATCCATGGACAGGCAGAATGGGAATGCAGAGATCTCAGAGCCACTGGAGTGGAGGCATCTCTGGCATCCCCCTCTGCCCAAAGCAGGGCCAGGCAGTGCAGTGACCCAGGAACAGGCCCAGGAGCTTTTGGATGTGTCCAAGGATGAAAACACCACAAACTGCACAGGCAACTCCATCCCCTGTTTGGCCATTCACATGGGTGAAAAAAAAAAAGGTATTTACATTTTAATGGAATTTCCTGAATTTCAGGCTGTCCCCATCACCAGACACCACTGGGAGAGCCTGGTCTTTACTGCCCACGCCCCAGGGTGATGGAACCATCCCTTCTCCAGGCTGCACAGAGCATCTCCAGCTGTGGGCCCAGCTGCTCCTGCCCCCAGAGCCACGAGGAGCTGGCAGTGAGCTCTGCCTGCACCCCCCAATGGAATGCAGAGGCTTCCAAGCCCTCCAAAGCTCTCAAGTGTTGCTAAGGAGACCCAGAGGCTGAACCTGCTATAAATGGGGTTTTTGTGGAGCTCAGAGATCAAGCTCAGCCCTTCAGCACCAATGGCAGGAGCAGAGCAGCTGCTGGGCTTGAGCTGGGCTGTTCTGCAGCCCTCAGGTAACAAAGGCTCCTTTAAAGAGCTGCATTTTGGGCTCAGGGGCTCCTATTCTGCAGCTGGACCATTTGTATTTGTAGAGAATCATTTTAGCTGTGGGTTCACTCACCTGTCAGCACCCTGTACCAGAGCTCAGCAAAGCTGAAGCCACCAGACAGGAGCAGCACTGGTGCTGAAGGGGCAGGGAGCTCTGGCCAGGCTCTGCCAGGGTGAGGGGGATTATCTGCCCATGGAAATGCAGGATTGGGAGGCTTTCTGCTGTTCTTTCTCATTAAATAAGTAATTTATAAAAAGCTCCATTTTCAGAGTGAGCTGAGGAACTTTTCCCAGGGTGTTTTTGTCTTTGTTTTGCCTCCTGTGGTGTCAGAAGGCAACAGGACTGAGAGGAAGTGGCCCTAGGACAGCCCTTCCCAGCACAGCAGCGATCCTGCTCCTGTCATCCCACAAAAACCTCCCAAACCTCATTCACTGGCTCATTAATGCTCCAAGATGTGACTCTCATTATGTCTGGTCCCAATCAAGGACCAGTAATGAGCCACCTGTGAAAAATGCACCCAGATGATCCCCTCAGGTGTTTGTCCTGGAGAACGTGGGCGTGAGCTCCACGTGAGCTGAGCTGTTGGTCAGGGATGATAAAATACAGAAGCAAAGCTAACAGTTGCTTTTTGTCTGCTCAAAAACAAATGGGAAGCCTGGGTATAACTGTGCTGTGGGTGGGATACAGCCTTCAAATAATGAGTTTAATTAATCTGGGTAAAACTACCCTGAGATCTGCTCTGGCCTCTCTTTTATTATTAATGCAATGATCCACAAATCCTGTGGCACTTTCGTAAATTGAGTCATCTGTGTCATTCCAGATCTTGTACAAACACTCCTGGAGCTCTTTGTGAGGCATTTGTCACCAAACCCTCTCAGGAAAGATCTTGCTAGATAAACCAAATGGCAAATGCTGCTCTGATCTGATGGCAGAGCCCAACCATCCCATGCCACCCCTCCATGGCAGGGACACCTCCCATTGTCCCAGGCTGCTCCAGCCTGGCCTTGGGCACTGCCAGGGATCCAGGGGCAGCCCCAGCTGCTCTGGGCACCCTCCCAGGGAGGAATTCTGCTGATTTAGCCTTCAGTGTCTGCCTAACCTCTTACTGATTGCTCTGACCGCCAGAGAAGATGGGAATGGATGCAATAAAAACCCTTCAGGCCCCCAGTGCTCGTCTGTTAGCACTGAAACAGCACATGGGGCCTGGCACTGCTGACAGATCCTTTACAGCAGCACACCAGCACTGTAGAAAAGAACTTTTCACTCTGCATTACTGAATGGCTCAAAAAGCTGCATATTTCCATCTGCACCACCTCAAAGGCAGATGCCAGGATTGCAGCCCTCTGTATAATAAAAGCTCTAGAGGAGCTCAGCATTGTTTACCTAAGAGGGAGCTTGAAAAAAAAAAAAAAAAAAGCAAAAATTAGGATCAAAATATCAAGGATATTTAATTTCAATTCATAACCAGGCCTGCGGGCTCAGATCAGGGCTCCGAGCTTTGTCTTAATCTAATTTTATGCAAACAATTCAGTGATAATGAAAGTTTATATAATCCACATCAAGGAAATCAGAGGGGTTCCCAAAACCTGTAATGAGAGCTGACATCAGCGAGTGCACATCAGGAAACCCAAAGGCTCCCTGAATGAATGGCTCCAGAGAGCACCTGACAGAGACAGAGCTCCCTCCACACCCCAGAGCCTCTCAGGCACTTTGTGGGGCTGGGATGAGAGCTGGCAGCATTTCCCCACTTTGGGATGCTCAGGGGTATTGATGCAGGGCATCCTCAAGGTAGGGAATAATGAGCTCTGACCCCTGGTTCAGGAGGCTGAACAAAGAATATTGCTTTATTAAGCTATACTATATTACACTAATACTTTATTGTAACTATACTAAAAAATACTAAAGAAAAACCCATGACTGTCCCCAAAAGCCACAACACAGCTTTGACCCCATTGGCCAATCAATCAAAAAAAAAACCCTCACCAGGGTCCAATTAACAAATCCCTCTCAGTGAACAATCTCCATAACACATTCCACATGTGCAAAAACAACAGGAGCAGCAAGTGGAGATGAGAATTGTTTTCTCTTCTCCCTCTGTGCTTCTCACTGCCTTCCCCAGGAGAAATCCTGGGAGAGGGAATTATGTCTCTGCCTTCCCCAGGAAAAATCCTGGGAGAGGGAATTATGTCTCTGATTTCTCCAGGAAAAATCCTGGGAAAGGGAATTATGTCTCTGCCTTCCCCAGGAAAAATCCTTGTAGAGAGAATTATGTCTCTGCCTTCCCCAGGAAAAGTCCTGGGAAAGGGAATTCTGTCTCTGCCTTCCCTAGGAAAAATCCTGAGAAAGGAAAAATTCTGTCTCTCTCTGTTCAGGGTACGTGAATAGCACCCAGGGGAGCCAGCCCCACTGCAGAGTTCCCTCCCTGAGTGGCCCCTCCGTGCTCTCAGAGGTGCAGGGGCAGAGGAAGAGCCCAGGGGCTCTCAGGACAGAGCTCTTCATTCAGTCATGGAGCAAACCAAGGCCCAGGGAGGTGTGGAACAGGTTCCTGCACTGCACACCTGTCATAATCCACTAGTGATGGTTCCATAACTGATCCCAGAGTGCAAAAACAACACAGAGAGGATTTCAGCATTAATAAACCAACTGCAGTTTGCCCATTCTTCTCCTCCTGGAGGAGGTGCCATTGTATTTAGCAAGCAGAGCATAAAATTCAGCTTTACCTTTTGCACTGAGGTTTTCAGTCATTTTGTGAAGGGACCAAAACCATGACAGGGAAGTGCAAACTTAGGTTAGACAATCTCACAGCCTTTGCTGTGCTCCCCTTTGCCTCCCTGGGTAGCTGAAGAGACAAAATCAGCCTGGGAGGCCCTGCTTAGTTCCTTCAAGTTGTCTCTTCCTTCCCAGACAGTCCAGATACACACTCACACTAAAATGGTTCTTTTGTGAGGGGACCAAAACCCTGACAGGGAAATACTGATTTAAGGTACACAACCACAGAGCTCTTGCTTCCCTGGGTAGGTGAAGGGACTAATCTGCCTGGGAGGCCGAAATTTGCTTAATTTCTGCAAATTGCCCCTACAAATTTCTTCATATTGCCCACCACCAGCTCCAGGAGGAGAAACCCAACCTGACAGAGCCTGATCCCAGGCAGAGGTGGCTGCTGGGGACACACAGGTGACACCGTGTCCATGTCCCCTCACGGAGGGGACACCAAGCTGGGAGAGGGGCAGGACTGGCCCCCAGCCCCGTACCTGGAGGATGACCCAGTGTCCCTCCTTTGCAGCCACATCCAGAGCTTGTTCAGCCACCAGCTCCTGGCCTTGTCCAAGGGAAACGTTGTGGAGGTTCCTGTGGTTGAAGGTGTAGCCCAGCTTCTTCCCTGGGAGGGAACAAGGAGTGAGTGCAGGTGCCAAACCCTCACACATGAGCTCTCACACTCCTGATATCACTTCTCTTGTCACCACTCCTTGCCCAAGTGCTCACCCAGCAGCAGCTTCCCCCAAACTCTTTTAATTACAGTGCAGCATCCACACAAAGGTGCCTCGTTACCAAGCACTCCTTGTTTAAAGAACATTATTCCCCTGCAACCTGGAGTAAAAACACATTTTACAGGGATAACAAATGAAAATCTTCTCCTGCTGATTAGCCAGGCTTTGAACACCCACACTGGGTGGGGAAAAGCCCCTGCAATGCAGGCTGGGCTTGGAGAGGGCAGCTGGGATGAAATTAAATCCCTGGGAGCTTCCTCAAGCAAGGCCTCCCAGGTGTCTGGGGCTTGGAGAGCAGAGAGAAACCCTCCAGGTTTCTCAGCAAAGCCCATGGGAAGGGGCTTGGGGTGGTTTGGGACAGATCCCAGTGTCCCTCCAGGGCAGGCTCACTCTGCAGTGCTGGGAAGAGGAAATCACAACCGATATTCATTTATCACTCATCCCCTGCCTTGGGCTGGTGCCCTGGCTCTGGGATTTGCCCCATCTCTGTGATTTCCCCCTCTCCAGGCAGGTGCAGCCCCACATCCCTGTCATTCCCTGCCCTGCAGCTCCTCCTGTCCCCTCACTGGTCTCTGATGATGCTTCAGCCTCCCCTGCTCCCTCTGGAGCATCCCAGTGGCTCAGATCATTTCTGTGCTCATGGCTGCAAATCCCCTGGCCAGGTTTTGGGTCTGTCCTGCGGCTCCTCTCACAGCACAACCAGCTCTCCCTGCTCTGTGCACCTCAGAAGAAAAACCCAATGTGTGCTGCAGGAGGGAACAGCCCCACAGACATCCCCAGGATGGGCTTGGCTCAGCCAGGGAGCCAGGACTCATCCCCACAGTGATCCCTGGGGATTGCCCACCCTTATCTCTGCATGCAGGTCTGCCTTCCTGCAGGTGGTGTGCCCTGAATTCCCAATTCCTGCCAAAAGCAGGCAGGTTTCACAGAGAAACAAGGAAAAGATTTGTCTTGCAAGGCTTAGGAACCATCTTGTGGTACAGGACTGGGAACAGATGGCCAAGAGGAGAACAAACCCCCAAACTCCAGCTCTCTGCTGAGCCTCAGCACAGCTTCCCCTGGGACACAGCTCTGCACCCATCTCAGAGCTCCCAGCTCCCTTTCCACCATCTCTGGCTGCTGCCAGCTTTCAAAGCTGCTGATCTTCTCCTCTGCCTTCATGATCCTCTGCCTGGAGAGGGGATGGGGCAAATCAGAGAGCCAGGCAGTCCCAGACACCTTTTATGGAAAATCCTTCCCTTGGGATTTGTCCTCCTGAGAAGCTGAGAGGCCTCAGGAACAAAATGGAACCAATGGTTATCTGCTGCTGTGGAATGCAACAGGTGCAGCTGGGATTGGGCTCATGTGGTTGTTTCTAATTAATGGCCAATCACAGCCCAGCTGGCTCAGACAGAGAGCTGAGCCACAAACCTTTGTTATCATTCTTTCCTTTTCTATTCTTAGCCAGCCTTCTGATAAAATCCTTTCTTCTACTCTTTTAGTATGGTTTTAATATAATATATATGATAAAATAATAAATCAGCCTTGTGAAACATGGAGTCAGATCCTCATCTCTTCCCTCATCCTCAGACCCCTGTGAACACACCCCAGGCCAGGGGATGAGTAATAAATGAGCATTTATTATTATTATTATTATTATTATTATTATTATTATTATTATTATTATTACTATTATTACTATTATTACTATTATTATTATTATTTCCACTGCAGAGGGGTATCAGTGAGCCTGCCCTGGCAGTGCCAGCCCTGCTCCCTCCTTGCTGGCTGCACAGGGGAGGGCATGGGCACTCAGGGAGGGCACAAAGCCCTTCCAGCCCAGCAGTGATTGCTGCAGAGCCCTCCCTGTGATGCCAAGGAAAGCTCCCATGGGTGGGCAGCATCTGCAGGAAGCTGACTTCCATTCACAGGAATTATCCAGCACTTTAATAAAACCTAATGAAGGACAGAGAAATGTTAATAACAAGCAAAACCCCAGTGAGGCAGCTGGAAGGCCAGTGCAGCTGCTCTGTGGCAGTGATTTTCTTTAATTCCTTCTCTTTTTGCTGCTTCTTGCTGTAACTTTTCTGGCTGGCTAACCCCAGGTGCTCAGCTACGCTCGTCTTTACAATTCCAATTAAAGCACTCATGGTTTGATTTTACTGCTTCATTTCCCATACAAGGAAATAACAGGGAGAGACAGGATCACCAGGGTGGCTCCAAAGGGAAGGCAGGAACACCACAGGAGCTTCTTTTGGGGGTGTGCCTTTAATTCCCAGTAATGGCACCTGGTTTGGGGGCAGAAATAGCTTGAAATGCAAAGCTGAGCCCAAGAATTCCCCAGAATGGGCAAAGTTGAACAGCTCTGACAGCTGCTCCTGGCCATGTTGGTAAAGGCTCACTCAAAGATTATTTTGGGTGCATTGTGGAGAGGAAAAGGAATGCACAAGCCATTGTGCCAGCCTGGATGATGTTTTGTCCTGTCCAGCCCCAAAGGCATCAGACTCCTCTGCTCCAGAGGGACGTTCAGGCTGAAAAGGAGAATTTTTCCAGAGTGGAGCCAAGACCCAGAGTAAATTCCACACAAGGGCAGCTTTGGAGCACAGCAGTGGCTGCAGCCATTGGGGACAGGGGCATCAGTGCCTTCCCAAGGGAGGCATCTCACAGAAGGCCCTTTGGAGCCAGCTGACAGCTCCACAGCTGAGCATCCACGTGGAAATCAGCTCAGGAAGGATGGCAGGAAAGCTGGAAACTTTGCCATAAAGCAGCAATCTGTTACAGGGAGCTGTTGCTTATTTTTAGTGATCATAAAATCACAGAATAGCAGGTTGGAAGGGACCTCAAGGGTCCTTTGGTTCAACCTTTCTTGGCAACAAGCATCTGACAGCGTGTGAGAGATCTCTGACGTAAATTACAGGTTGTGCACAAAGCCAGCTCAGATACCCCTGCACTGAGAACCACACTGGGAATCCAGGCAGGGCAGGAAAAACACAAGTTTAAATTAAACTTCAGATGAAAATCCAAAAAAAAAAACCTTTAAGAAAAACAATAAAACCAAAGCAAAATCCCATCGCATCCTCTCACAATTATCTATTTTTAACAAATTACTTCATTATCTACAAAGAGATGAGGGAAAAAAAATCCAAACAAAACAGGCATGTCGTGCTAAGATAATAATGCAGCAGATAAATAGCAAGGCTGTGCTGTGCCTGGGGACAGGATTGATTTACCATGTTTCTCCACATCCTTCAGTGGGTCCACTCCTGGGGACAGGATAAAAAACATGGGGGTGCCAGGCCCTGATTCCTCAAAGGTCGTGGCAAAATCCAGGGATCTCCCCGCCACATATTTGCTGCCCAGCTTTTCTTCTACAAAATCTCTGCCAGAGAGGAAAAAAAAAAAAAAAATTGCCACTTTGTTCAGAAAATGCAGATTCCCCTGCAAATAATCTATTAATTATGATGGAATGCCAGAATTGTGAGTCCCAGAATTAAGGTCTGAGAAGAGTCCCAAGGTTATCAAGTGTGACCATTGTCAAGCACCACTGTGTTCACCATTAAGCCATGCCCTCAAGGGTCCCATCCAAAGGTCTTTTGAGCACTTCCAGGGGTGGTGCCAGGGTTTGATAATCCTTCAGCTGGAAAAGTTTTCCCCTAATCTTCAATCTAAACCTTTCCTGGTGCAACTTGAGGCTGTTTTCTCTGCTCCTGTCCCTGTTCCCTGGAGCACAGCCTGACCCCCCTGGCTGTCCCCTCCTGGCAGGAGCTGTGCAGAGCCAGAAGTTCCCCCTGGTCCTCCTTTGCTTCAGGCTGAGCCCCTTCCCAGCTCCCTCAGCCTCTCCTCATAGAACTTGTCCTGCAATCAGTCTTCATTTTGATCCTTCAAATGATTTAGAAAGTGAACTTAGGAAAACGAGCAGGAAATAGTTGTGGAGATGCTCTGTAGGCTGGGCTGTCCCTCAGCCGCAATGCCTGGTGCTCTGTACAGGGCTGGGATGCCACAGGACACAGCAGCCTCTGGCAGACAAAGGAAATGGGAAGGGAGAGCAGTGGGAGCTGCATTCAGAGGCACAATTCAAGTACTGACTCAGGAATCTCAGGAGGGAAGAAATGAGTTAAGGTACAAGACACAAGCACCCGCCACGTGTTGTGCAAGCCAAGCAGCCTTGCAGAGGAAGCAGCCATCCACACCAAGTCCAGATGATTTACACAATTGCTTTGATCTGCAAAGCTGAAAGGGAAGAGCTCTAAGAATGTCTGGAGCGTGGAGCCTTAGCATGAGAGCAACAAGGAAAAATTCAAAGGAGCGAACAGGGAAAGGCTCAGCTCCACAGCAGCTGCTGGAGCGGAGCCGGTGCGTGGAGAATGTTCTGGCTGGATTCCCCCAGGGTGAGCTCCTGACATCAGTGCTTTGCAAAAAGAGACACACTGAGCACTGATTCAAAGGTAGCAATGTTATATTCAAACCCCAGGAATGCTGCTGCAGCTCAGATGGATTACTCAGGCCTTTTGAAGGCAGCCAAATTCTTTCTAAGAGAGCTGAGAACCTCCTTCAAGGACTGGTGAAAGGCAGTTGGAATAGAAATGCCTAAGGGAATGCAATTTAAAAAAATAAAAAAAGCTTCCACAGTTTTGGTACCTCTCCTTCAAGAAGATTTTTCTGTTCAGGGTCAAGATTTGATTGAAATTTTTCTGTTCAGGGTCAAGATTTGGTTGAAGATTTTTCTGTTCAGGGTCAAAATTGTTGCTGGAAAGGCTCAGGTCACAAAATATAACCAAGTCCATCAGATTTAAGGTCACAACACTCTTGTTTTACTTCACATCTCAGCTTTTTGAAACAGTGCCTTGGGGACTCAGAAACACAAGGTGCTACAAGAAGCTTTTTGCTGATATTCTTCAATAGATTGAAGGGGAAAAGAGATTTACAGGGGATAATCCTTTCTCAGGAAATTACAGTTGTTGGTGCACTGCTGGCCCTGAAGCTCTAAGGAGTGACTCAGGGACTTCTCCTGATGCTCCTTAGGTCCAGGGAATGAACCAGGCTGGGCAAACATCCCCAGGGATCTGCTAGGAAGAGTGGCTGGAACACCCAACTTCCCATTACAGGCTTGGATCATCTTAAATCCTAAAGAAATCCTGCACCATCATCACAGAGCAGGGACACATGAGGTGGGGCACAAAGGGGCTTAGAGCTTCCTGAACAGCAGCTGGAAATGAGCTTGGGATACTCCAGGGCACCTAAAATCCCACAATATTACTCCTAAAATGCACCCATGGACTGGCCATGATGTCCATGGTCACCAGTGAGGTGTTTCCTGTGGGCACACTGAGGTGTTGATAACTGAGCTGCATTTCAAGAAGAGTCCCCAGAGTCCTGGGGAAGGCTCAGTGAACTGTTACTGTTTGCACTTCGAGATAAGAAACAAAACAAAACAATACAAAAACCCATTTAAATACTCCTGTGCAAACAGAAAAACTTGATGTGCCCAAACCCTAAAAATATCCAGCCAAGCTTTTGAACTTGGATTCCCTTTTCATAAAAGAGAGACAGGAAAGGGGGTGAAATTTGATGTTCCTGTTATTTTTGAGCTGTCTGAGTAAGAAAGAAATAAATTATAGTTGCATAAATGCACCTAAAATTCCAAGAGCTGATTTTACTCGAGCTAAACAGCAACAGGAAAACCAATATTTTCAGCTGAGACACCTGGAGAATCCAGCCATAAGAGTAAGAAATGAAAAAAGGTGGAATAGTATTAGTATTGTGATAAACTGTAGTATTTATTCTAATAAAAAAATAATAACAGTGACCATGGGGAGATTCACTTAGTCTCATCTGTGTTTTTCTGTGAACCTTGAAGCACAAACAGATGCAGTTCATACACTGAGTAAAAAACCCTGCTGTGTGCACATCAGGTGGTGCAGGAATATAAACTACTGGAGAAACAGGAGCATGAGAGACATCCCAGAAAGGGCAAAACATTGGCCAGGGAAGGGGAAAACCAAATCCTCATGGAGTGAAAGACCTTTAGTTTGTCCTGGAACAAGGAGGCTGCTTTTGCATGGCTCCAGGACGTTTAGCCTTGCCCAGTTACCTTCACTACATAATTCACCACTACAACTTTCAGAACCAGCTGCACATGAATTTTGCATTTTACAGGGAAAAAAAAAAGGGAAAGAGAGAAAACCTCTGTAAGACTTTCCTTGACTTCTATTCCTATTCTACTCCTATTCTTCTATACTTCTACTCCTATTCTAAGAAGAAGCTCAGACTGATCTCATAACTGAAATGGATGTTCCAGCAGCAGATATGCAACACCTGTGTGGTGATGCTCATTTCTGACTTGGCAGGGCTGCCCCTCACCCTGCTTACACTGCTCCATCCCTGCTCTGTCTCTGGTGGTGGCAGAGAGCTTGCATCCCACCAAGCAAGAAATTCTACTGAAATCCCATGTGTTGATTGCCTTGCAGAGTTCAGAGATCAATGAATCACACAACGCTTTGGGCTGGAAGGGACCTTAGGGATCATCCCATGGGCAGGGACACCTCCCACTGTCCCAGGGACACTTCCCACTGTCCCAGGCTGCCCCAAGCCCTGGCCTTGGCATTCCAGGGATCCAGGGGTGCTGGGAAGGATGAAAGTTTGACCAGAAAGTCTCACAGATATGTGTGTGCTTAGCAGAAAGATTTTTGAATGTAGAATGTGATGAAGGAATAGAGATGGAAGCAAGTTTTGATATAGAAGAAAAGAATTGCTGAGCCAGTCTCACTGGATAACCAAGGAGGCAAAGGGTGTGTGAGTTAGAAGGGGTTTTTATGGCTTAGAGCAAAGGATAAACCCACCCCAAACAAGAAGATGTTTTTACCAAGCAGGAAGAGAGCACAGGCAAACAAGGCAGCCAATGTGGCAAGTAGAAAAACGGTCTCAGAATTTTGCACTGCAAGAAAACTGAAAAACAACTTCTAGCTTAAACTGTAATGTACTAACTTTTAGTGACTGGAGAACAGTAACATGAATATGGTAATTATAGTAGTTATGATAGGCTATAGGTAAAAGTTAAGGGATAGATTGGTTCTACTGTATGAAGATGCTCAGCAAAGAAAAGTCTATAATGAATTTGTAACCAAAACCAAAGGGTGTCCAGGCCTGTCTGCAGCTGGGGCTGACAGCTGTAGGCCCAGCTCTGTCACCCACAACCCTGGGCTGCTGTGACACCTTGGGTACAATAAACTGTGACACTTTGACACAATAAACTGCATTTTGGAGAGCCCCTGGAGTCCCACATCCCTCATTTCAGCTCTTACACACGGGCAGCCCCAGCTGCTCCGGGCATCCTGTGCCGGTGCCTCCCACCCTCACTGGGCTCATTCAAGACCTCTGATAGGAAACCACACTGCAGGATTCCCATGCTAGGAATGTCCTGACATTCCCAAACCCCAGCAGAGCCCTGAGCTCCTCCTGCCGCCCCCAGGGGTGTGCCAGCCCCACCTGACGGCGCAGGGGACGCGGTCAGGCCGCAGGGCGCGCAGGATGCACAGGCGCTGCAGGGCTGACTTGTTCTTCCAGTCCTGGGGGAACCTCTCCTTCTCTGGACACTCAGACTCAACAAATTTCTTCCACCGTTTCGCAGAGCCCTCAATGTCCCGATCCAGGTTTCTGAATTCCTCCATGGATGAGAGAGCCTGGAAGAATTCAAGGAAGGTCAGGGAGAACAGTTCTGAGTACCTCAGGGCCGTTTTTCTAACTCTGCTGACTCCTCGTGTTTTGCTCCACCAGGGAGCTGGAGCCTGGCACCACGGCCAGAAACCCATCAGGAGCAGATTTTGTCCATTCTCCCTGGATGGTTCCAGGGAAGGGAAAGATGGTTTGGAACCATTCATCTCCTTGGATGGTTCATCCAGGGAAGGATGGAAGATTTTGGCACCAACCAGCACACCCTGTTCATTACCCAAAAAGGAAAGAGCTCTCCTCTCCTGTTTGGAGCTTTCCTATTTCCCAGGCTCTGCAGTGCACTGGTCAATAACTCTGAACTGCACAGAAAGTGTCAGCAAGGTCTCCTCCCAGCTCAGGCACACAGAACAATCCTTTTCCAGCCCCAGAACCAAGGACACCGCTGCAGCCTCAGCCCCAAAAAGTGCAAACAGCAGGGAATGGAGGAGAGCAACCTGGGAGGGTGGGACTGCATCCCCTGGAGCTGGGATTGGGCACTGAACCCCAGCGTGGAAATGGAGCAGAACTCATCAAAGGGTGAAAACTCCTGACTCTGAGTCCATCCTGGGCCCACCTTGGGTGCAGCCCTGCCTGGGCTCTTGCACTGCCCAAGGTGCATCCTTTGAGGCCTTTTGATAAATCCCCACTTTATTCTTTTAACTCTGTCCAGCCTCTCCAGGCATCATCCCCATGCCAAAGTCCCGGGGATCCAGAGAATTCCATGGAGACTGTGAGCACAGGAGTGATCCAACAGCTGCTGTTTCCATGTGTGGATTTGCACTAACGAGGAGAAATGTCAGCGACAGAAGGACTCGCTCCAAATTCAGTGCCCTATCCTGATTTCTGTGAAAAACCCAGAAACAGGAGCACCAAACATGAGAAACTGAAGCTCCCAGGAATGCTGGCACAAGTTCTGACCTGCCAAGCCCTGGGCCCTGCAGCAGTAAATGTATTCAGTGCACCTCTCCTGGCTGAGCGGAACACAACGGCAAATGTTGAATTCGGGGAATTCTCAGTGCAACTGCTTATATAAAACATCTTCTCACTGTTGACTTTTGACGTGATTTACTTAAAATACCACTTCAGAACTTTGGCTGCTGCTGCTTCGAGAAGTCTCTTGGCTGATGTTAACAAGGGAGACTCTGAAAAATTGCTTTTTTCTGTCTAAATGACAGACATGTAATCAGGAATGATGGTCTCCCTCTCTCCCTGAACAACGTATTGCAGAATCATGAAAGCTCTAATTGCAAACAAAACCTCTGTATTACATAAATAAACACTAAAATTGTCATTAGTCAACAATGTTAATGGCATTTATTAGGAGTGATGGTATGAATGGGAGATGCTTCTATTTAAAAGCCAGAGGAGTGAAAGGTCTCTGGATCAGTAATCTTTCTGTGAATATTAATTGCTTTTCAATACCCCTGTAGTGAATTTTTCCAAGAAACTTAGCCCAGCACTAAAGGATCCCTGTTCCCAGGCAGGAGTGGTGCATTGGGGCAGCAGATGGGAACTGCACATCAACCTGTGCAGGGCATCTATTTCTGTCCACATAATGAAAAGTACTTTTGTCACTTAAGAGTTGTCATGGAAATTGAGGGAGACAAAAAATATTGGTCAAAATAGAAAATGATCCAAAGGGCTGGAGGACTCAAGCTCTTGTCTTTGCAGCCCACACTGTGATCACCTCTGGTGGCTGGAAACAGGAGGGGCTTGAGTTTCTATCTCAAAATGAGACTTTTCCAGCAAAAAAGGGCTGTTTACACCATCCCAGGGAGAGGATCCACCATCTTCTCAGAGAAAGTGGATTTTCATTCAGTGAGTCACACACAAGTTGCTTTATCACTTCAGCTTTCTCTGGCAGCATTTCTGTGGAGCTGGAGCACCAGCAGCTCCCTGGGGTTCACACATCCCCAGATGAGGAGCTCTCCCCGTCCCCCACAGCTGCAGGAAACACAGCAAGGATCAGGCACTGGCTGCAGCCAGGAACCGTGGATGCCACCACAGAGCCTGGGGATGTTCCCCACACACACCAAGGATCCCAGGGAATGGGGGGATCCTTGTGGGGAGAACATCTGGGGGATCAGGGAGGGATCAGGGAGGAGAGGAATCCCTGAGAATGCAGAGGAGCCCTTGGAGAAGAGAACCCCAGGGCTGCTGTCACTGCTGCTGCACACGGGGAATCTCCTGCTGCCAGACACAGCACAACAAGTTCTGGACATTTATTACTTGCTCTGATCACTAAAGGCAACTGCTCTAAGGAAGCCATCTGCTCAAACTGGCCTCAAGTTGAGGTGTTGCTTCACAAGATGTTTAAAATCTTTAAAAAACCCCAAACACATATATTAGCACTGTGTTTTCTTCCCCTTGGTTCCAGACGGAATTATCCTTTTAAAAAAAGAGGTTGTTTTGCATTTTAAAATATTTCCATAATTAAAACAGCCATCCTCAGAATCACCTGGGTAGAGAACAGCTCTAGGGCACGGCAGGACAAAATCCCCTCATTGCTGAGCCCTGCACTGACATAAACAGGGTGAAAATAAAACAGAGCCAGTAAAGGCAGAGCTGCCAGAACCCTCCTAACACCCAGTCTGTAACCACCCCCCAGCAGCCATGGGACTGAGTTTTAAAAGAGAGAAGGAAATCAAAATAAAGGAATTTGGGGGTTTTAGTAAAATCTATCATTATCATTTGAGTCTGTAACCACCCCCCAGCAGCCATGGGACTGAGTTTTAAAAGACAGAAGGAAATCAAAATCAAGGCATTTGAGGGTTTTTGTAAAATCTATCATTATCATTTGAGGCTTCAGGTTATATCTGGTTTTTACTTTCAGTTTTTACTAACATATCTTGCTTTTCTTTAAAAAAAACTTGTGCCTCTGCTTTAAAAAATTATGTTCTGTAGGGAACACACTGAACATCAAACATATCTCCACAAAAATCACACAACCTGCCAACACTGGAAAGAAATTATATTTAATATTCTTCCAGTTTTAATAATCGGTGAGATGATTAAATCCTGATGATTAGTCACGATTGCACTTGCAGAATCAAGGAGCTGTGGAATTTATGAATTGAGTTACACAGTTTTTAAGCAGAGATCCACAGAGGTCCTTGGTGGGCTCAGGGGGTTTTGAGTGGCTCGTGGGTGAATTTTGTGGTGGGGTTTGGTGACCATGGTGGGTTCAGGAGAAGTTTGGACTCCAGGATCTTGAAGATCTTTTCCAGCCTTAACAACTCTGCAATTCTGTGATCCCTCAAGCACTTTGTAAAGGTCTCACACTGTCCATGGGCACGTTTCAGCCAACATTCATAATTCCTTGCTTTCATTTGCTGCAGCTGGCCCAGGAGTCTTTAGGAAAACCAGCATCCCCACAAACAGCTGGAAAATGACAGCTCCTGGAAGAATGGCAGAGCCAGAGCTGCACCTGGCTTCAATTGATAGATTGGAGCACTCAGGAAAAAGACGTACAGGCAGATGAATTGCTCCATTTAAATACTACTGTTAACTAGAGGAATTAATGTAGCAGATGATGGATTATTTACAATCTCTCCCATCCTAGGTTTTGGCTTGTATTACTCATACACTGAAGGTGTTATTTTCTGTTTAGCCGCCCTACCTGAATAATTTAACTCATAAGAAAAATCTCTGCCAAGGTGAAAATAAAGATTTGATGGGGTTTGCCAAGCTTCAATCAACTTTCAATCCAAAAATGTTATTTTAACCCTCCTTATTTCTTCCATAAAAGCTGACTGACAAGCTCAAGGCACTGCATGCCCCTGTCTCCCTTCAAACTCCTCCTTGCTGCTTCTGCATTTTAATGGGGACAGGAGGTGTGCAGAGCCTCACCACATCCCTGTACAACCCCCCTCTGTTTATCTGCAGGGTCCCAGGGCATCACAACACCCAGGGTGGACACCACAAGCAGTCTGATGAGTGATGGATCAGATCTCAGCACCTTTCCTCCTCAGAAAATTTCCAGTGAAAAATCATAAATTGGGGGGGACAATGGCTCCAGCACTCATCTCCTTCCTACCAGTGCATACTTAGAGCCAGCTCCACTTGATGGGAAAGGTCAGAAACAGAAATGAGACTTAGTCACAATCTTTGTATTCTCATTGCTTACAGCCACCCACCATGTTTTCCTCATTTTGCCTGAGATGTTTCCCAGATGGGTTCATGTTGACATTTTCTCTGCATTTTTTAAAAAGGTTGTTCAAGTGGGTTTGAGAACAGGCCTTGCAAAGTCAGGCTGTTCTCCCAAGCCATGCTTTCCATCTTTCCTTTTCACTCTTGGATGCCTCTCAGCAGTCAGGGACACACAGCCAGAACCAGAAGCTGGGCATGGGTTCCCCAGGGCAGCTGAAAGATGGTACTTGTGGATTTCTGAAAACTTCCCTGGATTTGGTTGTTATAAATCCCATATGGGCCAACACACAGCAAAACTGAAAGAGAAAATATGTCCCATTTTCTGCAAGAATTCAGCTGGGACAGCTGCTCCAGGTGTCCCCTGCTGGAAAGCTCTCAAGGTCCACTGCCTGCTGTGAATATTTCCTGCATATTTCTTCTCTTTACAGGGAGCCAAATGCTTTTTCCCTTCCAGAGGAATCTCTTGGAGATCAGACCCTCCTGGCCTCTCAGTCTTGAGGTCCTCAGACAGAACTTTTCCTCTTTCCCTCTCCTCACTCTCTTCTCACAGTTGTGTTTTCAGGAGTCTGAGTGAAGGGCAGAGGGTGGCCCCAGGGCTCCTGTTGGGTACTGGGGTGCACTGATGCTCTGAGCTCACATTGTGAAAACACAGGCCATGAGAGCCTCCAAGAAAAGCCATCTCACATTCCCCAACCCAGGGAAAGCTCTGGTTCTACCCCCAGGGTTCCAGAGCTCACTGCCAGCAAGAGTCGAGCTGAGCCCTGGGTCTGCAATCTCCAGAGCTCCTCATGTGCACCAGCACAGCCAGGGAGAGGAACCAGGG